CCCCATCCTACAAAGGAGCGAACAGAAGCTCAGAACTTTAGTCATTTGCAATTTCAGTAATTTTCACACTTGAACGAGCTCAGCTTAGAATCAGGTGCCTCCGGATCCTAAGTGCAGTCTTCTGCCGGAGTGTTCAGACTCATTGTGACACGACACACGGTGACTAAAGGTTGATTCTGTTCCAGGCTCTCCGCTCTGTGTTTGGAAATGCTACAGACGCGTGCTCTTTCACCTTGCTTATGCCAAAGAAGAGTATGCTTCCATCCACTAGGCCAGGGTGACTGCATCTTTTGAAATGAGAAATGATGCCATTTGTAATGAGAAAACTTGGTTTAACATTCCACAAAGATACCTGGCCTGGCAAACATCCACAAGCCTGGTGATGCCATGTTGGCGATGCTGTGGAGAAGCAATCCCTCTCATACATCGCTGGTGGGGAGGCAAAATGGCACAACCACTGAAGAAGGACATTTGGCAAGATGGAGCGAATCCCATAAGCACTTTACCTTTGCCCAGAAACCTCACTCCTGGGAATCTATCCCGGAGGTATGCTGGCAAAAAGACGTATATACAAGGAAGTCACCATAATGGCATTTGTAATGTCCCCAAAAGGAGTTCAGGTAGTGTAGTGGGTTATGCATTGAGCTCTTACCCCGAGGTCAGCAGTTCAAACCTACCAGCTGCTCCACAAGGGAAAGATGAGATTGAATGCTCCTGCAAAGATTTAAAGTCTCAGAAGCACAAAGGGGCAATTCCACTTTCTCCTACAGGGTCGCCATGAATTGAAATCAACTCAATAGCAGCAAGTTTGGCTTTTGGAATGACCACAGACCAAACCATGCAACGATGGGCTGGGCTGAGCTCAAGTATACGGCACGCTATCATTTATACAAGGAGGGAAACACATATAATCACACACATGTTTTGTATGTACAAAGCAAACAAGGAAAAGATAAAACATAATGTTTTAAAAACGGATTACCTAAGGTGAAAGGGACAGGGAGCTAAAGGGACAAGGACAGAAGGTAGAGCACATCTGGTTTTACAGATTTGCGTTTAAAACCACGTAATCAGAATTAAAATTGAAGATGCAACCTCAAAGTAGAAAGTAAAGCAAAGTAAATGAAGCTAAAAGCGTATCTAGATGGTGACCATGCCCGCACAAACAGAAACTACTGAGGGTGGTTTTCAAGCTCAGGAATCTGACTGCGCACTCACTATGCGACACACCCTAAGAACAACAAAGGAATTACAAAAATATATCTTGAGTTGTCTTTGGTAATTATATTGGTGCACTGTTGTGGTGAGTATGCTATGATTTATCATGAAGTAAAGAAAGCTAGTAATTATGGAATGGTCTAATTCTATCATTTCCTGGTGTGGTGAAGTAGCAGTGCTGACATGGGAGAAAGGAGATACGGGTGTAAGACTGAAGAGGTTATGAAAAAGACCCAATAGCCTGGAGCATGGAGTTGAAGCATCCAGTAAATTTATACTGCATCTTAATTTTAAAAACCCAAACAAAGCATACACTTTGTTTTATAGATTCCCACCACAATAAAAACAACCAAAAAAACAAAAAACAATTTCCAAGTTCCGTCCACTGAAAAGATTAGAAACAATGCCTGACCTCGGAGCAGTGAGCACTCTTCGTGCCCAGACTGTGGTCTCCAACTATCATATGGAGTCATTGATCTCTGGAAAGTAGGCTGTGGCCAAGGCTGGGTGGCAAAAGAAGAGCCAAGAACATCTGGTCTGACCAGAAATCAAGGAAGCTTCGCTTTGACTCCTGGGTGAATCAATGGAACCCTGAAGATGTCCACTGGTCAACAATGGGCTAATCTGGACAACCAGCAGAGTAACTGCAGTGGATTGAAACAACCACCAAATGTGTTTAAGTCCATGAGATCACACTGACACTTTATAAAAACATGATCTTCATTACTTGGTTACTGTAGGAGTGTGCTTGTGAATCAATTTTTATGTCAAGATACATATATAAAACAAGCAAATGCTTAACCTAGGCAGATTGGATAATCAAATTGTAGAAAAGAGGGCTGTTTCTCGCCATAAAAATATTTTCTTTCCAGGTCTGTCTAAATAAGATATGCTGGATGAGCAATCTAGAGGAGAAAACAACAGGACCAACAGTTCCTGGGTTATATGAGAGAGGGGGACGTGATGGGAAAGGAAGTGGTGTTAACAAACCCAGGGACAAGGGAACAACAAGTGATCTAAATCGGTGGTGAGGAGGGTGTAGAAGGCCTGGTAGGGTGTGACAAAGGGTAATGTAACGGAGAGGAATTTCTGAAACCCAAATGAAGGCTGAATATGATAGTGGGACAAGAGGAAAGTAAAAGGAAATAGAGGAAAGAGCTAGGGGGCAAAGGGCATTTACAGAAGCCTAAATAAAGGCATGTACATATATAAATATATTTATATATGAGGATGTGGAAATAGATCTATATGCATATATGTATAGGTTAGTATTAAGGTAGCAGATGGGCATTGGGCCTCCACTCAAGTACTCCCTCAAGGCAAGAACACTTTGTTCTATTAAACTGGCATTCCATGAAGCTTACCTTCCAGACATGGTCGCTAAAGACAAAGCGGGTGCATAAGGAAAGTGGTGAAGAAAGCTGATGGTGCCCGGCTATCAAAAGATATAGCATCTGGGGTCTTATAGGCTTGAAGTGACCATCTAGCTCAGAAGCAACAAAGCCCACATGGAAGAAGCACACCAGCATGTGCGATCATGAGTTGTCGAAGGGATCCGGTATCAGGCATCATCAGAACAAAAAATCATATCATTGTGAGTGAGGGGGAGTGTGAAGTAGAAACCCAAAGCCCATTTGTAGGCCACTGGAGATCCCCTTGCATAGGGGTCTCAGAGAGGAAACAAGCCTGTCAGGGTGCAGTGTAGCAATGATGAAAAATACAACTTTCCTCTAGTTCCTAAATGCTTCCTCTCCCCACCACTATCATGATACTAATTCTACCTTACAAATCTGGCTAGACCAGAAAATGTACACTGGTAGAGATAGGAAGTGGAAACACTGGGAACCCAGGGCAGATGATCCCTTCAGGACCAGAAGTGAGAATGGGGATACCAGGAGGGTGGAGAGAGGGTAGGGTGGAAAGGGGGAACTGATTACAAGGATCTACATATAACCTCTTCCCTGGGAGACGGACAACAGAAAAGTGGGTGAAGGGAGACGTTGGACAGTGTAAGCTATGACAAAATAATAATTTATAAATTATCAAGGGTTCATGAGGGAGGGAGGAGGGGAGGGGAGGGGGAAAATGAGGAGCTGATGCCAGGGGCTTAAGTAGAGAGCAAATGTTTTGAGAATGATGAGGGCAATGGATGTACAAATGTGCTTTATACCATTGATGTATGTATGGATTGTGATAAGAGTTGTATGAGCCCCTAATAAAATGATTTGAAAAAATTAAAAAAAATAAAATCAGGAGGAAAAAAATATTTTCTTTCTTTTTTTCTGATAAATTACAGAATTGGATTATCATCTTCCTACCCGCAAACCCTGTATAGGTCACTGTGAGTTGATATCTATGTGATGGTAGTGGGTTTGGTGTGGTTGTAGGTTAACAAACAAATGGTCACAGCCACTGATTGATCATCATCAACTGCTCACATCATTAAATGTGAGACAATGACATGTTGTGTGTCTCCTGGTGGAAAAGCATACTACCACCTTATATAGAAGCCTAGACTCAAAAAAGACAAAACAAAACGGGGTGTCTACTCAAGCCTTTCATATCCATCCACAGAAAACAAAGAGGTTCACAATGATTCAAACAGCAATATACAATCTATGGGAAACGCCCTGGGGAAGTGATTCTGTGCCTTCAACAATAAGTCTGAAGTGGGTGGGAGGAGGGAGACTGAGAGAGATGGAGGAAGAAGCTGTAGATTCTAAGAGATTGAACCAACTATCACTATTATCAGCCTCATTTGGATCCAATTTCAACAATACCAAACCATAAAAATAAAATTTTAATGAATCCGAGAGCGTTGGAAACTTGGTAATAGTAAGGAAATAGTGTTACTTCTTAGGCGTCACTGAGGTTATGCTTTTTAAAGAGTCTTTCTGTTCTGGAGCCGAAGCAAAACCAATTGGTACTGAAAGCTATGGAGAGCCCTGGGTTTCCAGGTGAAACACTGCTCCCTGAGGTTTTCCATGAACATCAATCCCAGAAGCAGGTCGTCAGGTGTCTCTTTTGAAGTGCCTCTAGGTAGAGTCAAACTGCGAGCCTTCTAGTTAGTATCCAAGGGCTCAATTAAACCATGTGCACCACCACGCACTCATCTTCCAGGGACAGTTACTAAAACGTGCACACAATGGGACCGAGGTTTGTGTCAAAATGGCACCGGAAGGTAGAAGAGCACAGATGAAGCAAATGGCCCGAGTTGTTATTGTGTAAGCCACTGTCTAAGTCACTGTTGTGCACACACCAACACTTATTCTACATTTCTACCCATCTTGACGTACATTTGACGTTTCCCACAACACAACATATAGACACTCCCAGTTCACATCTATCTCCCCTTCCTTCGTCCTGCTTTCCTCCTAATCCCGTGTGTCCTGTAATCTTTCCCATATCCTTCCCCCCTTAACTTCTGGGCTCCTCAAACTTCCAAGTACTCACTTACCAGAATAACCCCTAACCTTTTCACCTCTCACATATGCACGGCTGCACTTCCCTACACGAGAATCAGAACATGAACAACCTGCACTGCCAGTAAACTGTGTGTCCTAAAAGAAGCTTATACAGCCTTTCTTCTTCTTCTTCTCCTCCTCCTCTTCCTCCTCCTCCTCCTCCTCCTCCTCCTCCTTCTT